GTAAGAATCTTTGATGACAGTGATACAAGTCTTACTAATTAATCCATAGCTGAGGGGAAGAAGAGAAGGGATGGGTTCATACCTTTCCAAAAGGTATTTGCTCTTGAATATTGAAGTGAATATAAAGAACCCAACGGGAATTTGAACTCTCCAATTAACAATTCCAGGTTGTTATCTATTACACAATTCCCAAGCGATCACCTATCGGATGGGTAGGAAGTTATGGAGAGTCATGATCGCCTACGTCCTGAAGGAACACGGTATATAGGAATAGAAAATAGTAGACCGGTAATTACTGTCGAGATCAGCGAATGGTTTTATGTTCTATTCTTAGTGCGATGGAAAATATAGACTTGAAAACCTATCCTCCGCACCGCAGTTAATTATAATTTACAAGACATTTAATCTCTACTTGTGAGTATTTTAATTAATTAAACACCGAAAAAGAAGTTATTTTTCTGTAATTCATTTGTGAAGTCGTTGTAATCGTGTGGTGTTCGTTATTTGCTACATTATGAAAAGATTCGGTAGTTTACGACGAGGTAAAGTTTATTCGCTAACAATCATACCCAAAGGTATATTGAATACCGACTAATTTAGCGATCTTAATTTCCCAAGGCTTAAGAAACGAGAAAATAATATAATTGGAGCCTGAATATTGTCATGTAACAGCCTTTAAAATCTTAAGAGTCGATCGCATACAACATAATACAGATACGCGCATACAAACGTATGTATATAAAGTTTGACGCTTTAGTTACTAACATTCAACCAATTACGATGACAATGTTACATAGAGTATAACTCTTGTAATATTAAAATAATGTGATAGTTGTAAACGTAATCACATACACTGGACTTCAAAGATGAATAGGAGCTAGGGAACATAGATACGATTCTACAGAAGGATGATGAGAATACCATGCATGAAAAAAATCAATCACAATAAGGTTGTTTTAAGGAAAATACGACCTGCGAGGAAAAGCATACATATACGTAGAGTCAGATATAGACAGTTGACATTTCTAGTACACAAATTGAGAAAAGAATGTTTGGGGAATTTGACACTCACAGGACAAATTGAAGGCAAAGGGGAACCAAGTAACCTACCTAAAGAGCTTGTGTAAATGGATCACTAAACAGGGACTAGGAGGGATGGCAAGGGTAAAAACGAAGGATAAGAAATTGTGGAGAGCCATGATCGGGAATGTCACGGTACATAAAAGATTAATAAATATATACATTTTTTTTACCATACTATATGTGCACTGTGCAATCAGTCTTACATATACTGACAAGTCTCGCATTTAGTTCGTTGTTAGGGGTTTTATAGACGAGACAATACTGAGATCGATGCTACGCGTGGGGAGATATCTGTTATTAAAGAAGCTGTCACATAATTCTAAGTCAGGGGTTTATTTTGACACAGTCTCTCTTTCTCAATCATAGAATTCCATGATTGGAATAATAAGATATAGAAAAAGAAGAAGAAAGATTTACAAAAAAAGAAGAAAAAAAATGAAATAAAAAAATGGAAAAAAAAGAAGAAGGCTTTCAGAAAAAAGAAAGAAATCAAATATGTTAAAATATAACCAGTGTAATTCTCAATCATATTCCAGTGTCTCGGTTGCGTTACTGAAGACATAATCGCAACGTCGATCGATATCACTGGCAATAAACGCCTCAGGATATGTTAATACTCAGACAGAGAGTGTAATATATATATATATATATATATATATATATATATATATATATATATATGGAGAAAATAGAGGGAGAGAGAGGGAGGAAAGGAGAGAATGATGTGGGCAATGGATGAAAAAGTGGGAAGGAAGTCTTGAATAGCACGTACAAGATACAAAATGGCGAACTGAGTTGGGTAGGGCTAGCACGCAAAGCTCGCTTCCGGCTATCACAACATCGGTGGGACCCGTTCGGATACTAGGATTAAATCTAATCTATTAACCTTCTCAGTACTTACCTTCCCGATAGGAATCGAATCAGGTTTCCGAGTTTCTAGTTTTTCCCAATCTTTCTATTGGATAAGCATTAGCATCCTCAGAAGGTTTCCAAGTCGATTCATAGACACTGAACGACACTGGGTCACACATCGCCGAGGCCCCAGCATTTTGCCTCGTTGAGCTGCAGGCAACAGTGATAAACTGGAAGTTTGTTTTTAATTACTTGTAATTGAATGATATGAGGTGGTGCTGAAAATTTCCTGTTATGACCCACTTCAATAAATTTGTAGATATTTTAAATAAAGCTGAAATATATATATATATATATATATATATATATATATATATATATATATATATATATATTTGTTTTGCTTTACGGCATACCAACCTCAATGGGTTATTTAAAGCCAACAAAATTCTTTATTGCATGTAATATTTTTTTCCAAAAATGTATTGCTGGTAATATTTTTTTTTTCATATGCTGGTTATAGTTTTTCTTCAAAAATTTATTATTAATATAATATATTATATAATATATATTAGCTAATATTTTTTTCAGAAAATATATATAGATGGTAATATTTTATTTTAAAAAATGTAATGCTGGTAATAATATATTTGTGATAATTTTTTACAAGAAAGTATTTCTGGTATTAAAACCTATTTTTACACTTTCATAGTCTTTTGACTCCAGTTTAGGGGTTAACTATTTGCCCATAGCAAATAGGTGGTACCATGTTCCTCAAAACCTCCTGATCAGAGGCCTTGCTGCTGGACGTAGTTTATCGTCTTACCCAGGATGTGGTATATATATATATATATATATATATATATATATATATATATGTTTTGAACAATAAAAAAATATAAAAAAATTATATATTAATAATCTTTCGTTTTTATTATTACTTCAGTTAGATTATATATATATATATATATATATATATATATATATATATATATATATATATATATATATATATATATATATATATAAGTTGGCCCTAGTCGTAAACCAGTAATGATAACGGATCAGATTGAGGAATCGGAGAGCCGAGTTCAATTATTGTCCGAACATTCATTTACGTGCATTAACATTGGTGGGAAGCCTCTTCTTCTTTCCCTAGCTAGGGTTATAATTGTAAAACAGACTGGTTTCTATAGCCTTGGTTGACAACCGCTCTAGGAGAAGGAAAACTCTGAATTCAAACGACCTTGAGAGGTTTGGGTAACGTCAGGCTATTTTGCCTAATTACTCCATATAAAGGGGCTCTCTTCTCCTTAGTTAATATATATATATATATATATATATATATATATAATTAAGAAAGAGGAGATTCAGAAAACCATGGTAATATTTTATTTCGCGAAATCGAGATTTCGATTTCGCTTAATCAGACCTTTTTTGGGAACCTATTTTAAAACACATTTTATGTTAATCTTCGCTTTTCATTTTGTATCTGGAAGAATTTTAAATCCATTTATTCTTGGACCCTTTTGGTCTGATGCAGCGAAATCGAAATCTCGATTTCGCGAAATAAAATATTACCATGGTTTTCTGAAGTCTACGTTTTCTTTATTATCATTTGCTCTTTTCTTCCATTGAACTCTCCCTGGATCTATATCCTTTTGAAAATATCCATACGGATTGCCCAATTTATTTTATCATATTTTTATATATATATATATATATATATATATATATATATATATATATATATATATATAGAGAGAGAGAGAGAGAGATATGTCGATAATCGAATGACAAAATGAAAAAGAAAAAAAAAAAAAACAAATGCCAATTCAAAAATGTTAATGACACTGAGAAGCATAGCTAAATTTGTGCATTTTTGACAGACGGCATATTTAGATGCATCACATTAGATTTCTATCGTTTTTGTTTTTAATTTTATCACAATTGTTTTTAAAACATCCCATAAGCATTAGTTTTGTGAGGAAACTATATATGTTTTATGATCCAAGTAAATTAAAAGTCTGATCTATAAAGTTGTATTCAAATGTAGGCATCACGAATTCATTTACACATGTCTTGTGTAATTCACCCGAGAAATTCTTTAACATTTTATTTTATTTTTCTAATTTTCGAAGTTGTAGATTCAAATCAAAATTGTAGTTGATCCGTCCAAACTGCAAAATTTTGTTGTTTTAGTTCAAGTACTTTTGAATGTAAGATTTATTCTCAAGAACTAATTGTTGTCAGTATATTAGACGAGATTCTGCTGCTTTCATCATGGAATGCTACATTTCATGTTCAAATATACGTATGTCAGATCAGTTACGCCGTGTTCTCCAAACAGGATGATACGTGGAATTGAGTGGGATGCATTCTTGACCCTTCCAGCTCAGGCGATATTGAAGGATGGTAGCCTCGATGTTGGGGAGAGATGTCTGAGAGAGATGTCTGAGAGAGGACCTTATTGTTGGTGATGCAGTTCTCCCAACTTATGCGAAGGATGCTTTGTTTGCTGGAACCGTTAAAGACCCAAACATACAAAGTCGAGGTCTCGCAAGCGTACATATCATCCTGTTTGGAGAACAAGAGGCTACGCGGAGCCTCACAAAGACCCTTCAAAGATCAGTTGAAAATATCCCTGACACAGGCTAAAATCGGCACTGAAACCTGGGAAACTTTTACTGCAAATCGGTCTTTCTGGCGTAGGACTTATCCGATAGGGGAGCGAGACTTTCGAGTTGAGGATCTGTGACGTGCTGTTAAAAGGGTCCGACTCGCCCAGCCACGTCCACTGCCCACATTCCTCTGTGACTCCTGTTCACGGCTCTTCAGGAGTAGGTTGGTCCTTCACAGCCATCTCTGTCATCGCCACCAAACGGGAGAAAGGGGATAAGAAGAGATGATGCGAACGAGTCCCGACGACGACGGCATGTGTAGAAGAGTTTCACTGCGCATGACAGTATAATGAATGTATTTTATACATTTATATGTATTATTACTACGATATTATACGCACATTAAATATTATATATACGCTTTCATACATGGTTTCACGTCACGTTGAAACACCTATTTCCGTACGATCACCGAAGTTAAGTAACGTAGAGCCTGGTCAGTACCTAGATGGGTGACCGCTTGGAAATCTGAGATGCTGTAAGCCTGGATATTCGGGTGGTCTCTTTGATGTTTATACTCAATCGTAATGGCCTGACGATTGCGTATAAGCATGAAACAGACTGTCGCCGCTGGTTGTTGACAATGTCTACTTAAATATATACTGGAGTCTCCCGTCGTAATCGATGTATGAGGGTCAAGCAACCCAGTTCCTAGGAACTGACAGCCAGACACCTACTCATATGATTTGATTATAGTGGTGAAGGCTTTGTGCAGAGCTAACCACTCTTTCTGGAGATCCAAATACAGAGACCTGGTGCACGACGCTCCAAAAAGTCTTCAAACGACCCACAGCAGGTTTTGAATTCAGAGTTTTTGTCGTCCTATAGAACTTACTCTGTCCTGTGGCGAGAAGAAAAGGATTCATACCTTTCCCAAAGGTATTAGCATGTAAGTGAATGTCATGGATTCGAGTGGAATTCGAACTCGGTTCTCCGAGTCCTCAATCTGAGTCACTATTCACTATATGTATTTGACAATTGTCAAAAATTTAAAAACTTTGTCGGTATTCAGTCAATCAGTTCTGTGACATGCATGATACACGCTTAGGTGATCATGTATCTTTCGATACATAACTGACGTGATTTTTCCCACAGTAGGTTGCCATTTCTTTTTGCGGTAGACCAGTTACCATCCTGCTATTTACCAATAGCTGAGGGAGAAGTGGATTCATACGTTTCCTATTAGCGCATGAGTGAATGTAATGGGTTCGACTGGAATTCGAACTCGGCTCTCTGATTCCTCAATCCGAAACGCTAAAGCATACTGCTGACACAGAAAACGCATGAAAAAAAAAAGACAAATCTTTTACTTTTTACCGAACTGAAATTAAAGGATGTTAACGACTTTTTAAAAGTCACTCATTTTCTTTATTTTTTTTTAGTCACGAGAAACGCCAGCTTAGAAAAAAATAATAAGATTTCATTATTTAAACATACACATAAATACACATACACACAAATATACATACACGCATTCTATTTTTTATCGTTTTCGGATATGATGAAACCTTAAATAGAGAAATGCATTATTGGATATATTTCGAAACAAATCTACTTTTATGAACGTTTCCAATAGTTAAAAATATTAAAAACTTTGCCGGGATTATATGTCCTGATTCTACAACATTTTTGCTCTTTAAAAACGGAAATTAGTATCTAGCGGCATAGAAAATGAAAATCTTACTTAAATACATGCACCCATTAAATTAACATCTATATTAACAAGAAAATGCTAGATAAAATGTTAATTAGTTACACACGTGCATAGAGATTTTCCAAGTGTAGCTTAGATGGGGAACAAGGCCGAAAGTATTGGGCACCTATTGAGGATCGAACTCACTATTCTGTCGTAATTGTTCTAGCAAGAGAAGCTTGCGAACCATTACACCATGTCGAGCTGCCCAACACACGCACACACACACACATATATATTCGTAAGAAATATATATATATATATATATATACACACACATATATATTCGTAAGAATATGTATATGTATATATATATATATATATATATATATATATATATATATATTCTTACGAATATATATATATATATGTGTGTGTGTGTATAAGAATATATATATATATATATATATATATATATATATATATATATATATATATATATATATATATATATATATATATATATATATACACGAACATACAGGTGAACCACAGGGCAAAAAAAAAAAAAAAAAAATTTAAAAAGGTGAGATCATTTCTCAGTATTCACTCAGGAATGGAAGCGACCCAAGGAACTCATCGAAAAACAAACACAAGATGATGGATTTCAAAATAATATAAAAAAAACATTTATTCACAAATGCAGAATCAGGTAAAGAAAAAAATCGTTTAACCAAGGAAAGGGATCATAAAGAACAGAAGGTACGAGCGATCACACACACACACGTGTGTGTGCATATATATATATATATATATATATATATATATATATATATGTCAAGCCAAGTATATATATATATATATATATATATATATATATATATATATATATATATATATATATGTAATGATCAAGCCAAGAAATCAACTTATCTATATTGATGGGTCAGTCGAGTTTGATATCTCCACACAGAGTTCTAATTCGCGAAGTGAGAGTCCTTATTTTGTTGGCCGGAAATTTTCCTAGAGTCCTTTTCTCTCGAAATGGCCCGGGATACACAGCATCACATACGGGCGTTCAGTAGTAGTCCTTTCATTCTGTAGTAGACAGACTTTGCTGTTTTCTTTATCCCGATAGGCAGCGCATTTAGAATGTGAACGATTCGCTCGCCGATGTTCATCCGCCGGTGGTCAGACTGGAAACTGCCTCCTTTTTTTCTTTCTTTCTTTTTTTCTTTTACATTTTTGCTGTCCCCAAAGTTCGTCACATGGCTTACCTTTCGTCCTTGACCGGGTACGCAGGATGGGGTGCAAATCACGGTGTGTTTGCGTGATGGCCAGATCCATGCAACCCTCAGTCGAGTTTGATCACCTGATCGCAGCAAGACAGCCTGATGGTCGCGTGATTTTCGAACCAAGTCATTCCCGGGTGGGATCGCTTCAAAGTTCACGTGCCCTTGGATTGAGGGTGGAAGAGAAGAAAAGACAGAAAGAATCGGAAGAGAAAAGGAGGGGAGGCTGATCATAGAACATATTCGCTCTATATTTATTTCTATTTTTTATTTCTATTTAACTATTTTTCTAACTAGAATTTCTTGGAGGACATTTTAGTCTTATGCCTATGTGGATAAAGAAATCATAGGTAGGTCAATATATATATATATATATATATATATATATATATATATATATATATATATATATATATGTATATAACTGTATACATATACAGAAATAATGATCTATCAACATCTCACAGCTTCTCTTACAAATCTGACTAATATCAAGCGCTAGAAATTTTTAGAAGGATTGTTGATCGTACAGGGAAGTTTTCAGCACATCTCGTATCTATCTATCTCTGTAATCGCGTTTTTCTTTACAGGGGTCTTGTTAAGTATGTGAAGCGCCATAAGCAATATCGACAAATAAGATTGTCTGTAATTTAAGCAGCAGTTAAAACTAACATGCTCTGTGTGCGCCTTCAACGTTCAGTAATAAGCTGGTTTGAAAATTCATCTTCGTTCCCACGACAGAAACAATTTACGACAAATTGTACCGAAACATAACAACGGACCTGTGTGTGGCATTTGCCTATTCGTTGCCAAAACAAAGGCAAGGCGAGGAAGCCATTTGAGATTTGGTGAAAGAGCCAAGCAACGGTTAATTTAAGAAAGTGGTCATGTTAGAAATTGACTATACAGCCATCATCTATTTTCTTCTGTTCGTATCTATCTATCTATCTATCTATCTATCTATCTATCTATCTATCTATCTATCTATCTATCTATCTATCTCATTCTGCCCATATCTATCTATCTATCTATCTATCTATCTATCTATCTATCTATCTATCTATCTATCTATTTCTGATGCAGTTGTTTATCTCACTTTCTAAAACTATTCTTTATCTATCTATCTATCTATCTATCTATCTATCTATCTATCTATCTATCTATCTATCTATCTCATTCTGTTCATATCTATCTATCTATCTATCTATCTATCTATCTATCTATCTATCTATCTATCTATCTATCTATCAGGAGAAAAGGAAAAAGAACATAGAATAGGCTACTCTAGAAGTAGTGTCGCCAAACAGTGCAAACTTCTTCAAAATCAAATCATTAACCTAAACACTGGAGTCATATTCTTAAATATCTTCGTTAAATCGAGACATTCCCGTGGATGTTATGCATGACACCAAACTCCTTCGGAAATAACTAAAGTGTCAGCTATGTACAACCATTTTCTCAGATCACTGTATAAAAATAGCTTTCAGTGAATGAACCCTGGAAATCTTAGCGGGAACTTCGTCGACTGGCGCTACAGAATCATAAACAAATAACTGTACCAGATAACAGAAACTACATCGCTCAAAGACTTTCAACTAGAGCAACAACTAAAATGAATAGCAAATGTAACCCGAAGAGAAAATAATGCCACTATCAAGATGTTGACATTCACCACTACTACAAAACGAAAGTTAGGAAGGAAACTTCCATCACGACTTAAAAGTGGATAATAGTGAAATTGAGAAATCGGTTTCTCTGAAAAAAAATTGTTTTAATATGAAGATTTTATAAATTTCAATCGACAGTAGTACTGCCTGCTCGGTTAGGGAATGCCGAATGTTTCATTATAAGGAAACAGTTAGTATTACCCTTACCATCTAGTTATTTATATTTAGATCTATAGACACATACATTTGATATTTGTCTTCATTCATATCGTTAGATATTTTTGACGTAAATTCATCGTTTATATTTGCGTCTGGTCCTATATAGATGGTGTAGAAATTTGTATCATAATATAAACGCACCAGTTTTTATCTATATAAGCATACACATATATGCAATTATTAATTTTTTTATTTTGATTATACAGACTCAAATCCCTAACAGAAACATCATATTTGTAATTTTGAGAGATTTTTTTAAAAAATTTTCTATCACTGGGGGCAGAGCCATAAGACTTCTATACTCATAATGACTGGCGATGTGGTAGCGGACTTAAAAATTTGGTTTCATGCCTATTTAATAAAATAATACAAATGTCACAAGCAGTAATCGAACTGAAGTCGAAAATTTAAGTTTGTGAAAGGCAACGCGTTGGGCCAACTTGTTCTTTTGTATGTGATAATGTGAATAGCAGAATCATTTAGAGCAATGGTCGGCAACCTACGGCCCGCGAAGGCATTTTGACCGGCCCGCGAGCCTGATTACCAATGACTCTATTTTTAACATGAGAGACTATCTGCCATTTATCTTTCACGAGATTTATTTTACCAAGTTGCGTTGCCTACGTTTAATGTCAAATAATGGATACATATTTGTTATGACCCTTGGCTACAT